AATGTGGTCAAACTGACTGATCTTTTTTTGTCTAAACCTTGTCGGATCTAAAAAGCCCAGCAGAGTAGGCATTAGAGCCAAATCTTGCTCCCATTATAGCTACTAGGATTTGCTTATTGAGTTCAGTATAGCAGTATCAGGCCTTTAGTGAGTACACTACGTGGAATGGAGACCCTCGAAGTAATAGCCAGATGCTGCGTCAGCTGTTCTTGGGGACATGGTCAGTAGCAATGACAATGGCATTAGCATTGTTCTCTCTGAAGTTAAAGCCCCAGCATGATGCATAGGGATACTGTGTTGTTGCAACTGCCGCCTCTGAGATGACAAGCAAAACTCAGACCCTGACCACTTGTAGTTATCCCAAGGCAACTTCCACAAAAGGGTGTTATCAGCCTTGATGCCCGACCCAGAATTTCTACTTAGATATTTATAGTATGTCTAGCTGGAAAAAAAATCTCCTTTTTCAATTTTAATTGTCCCCCCCCCCCCCACTTTCCCTTCTTAAAATACTGTGTGGCTTTGCATCAAATCCCATTACAGCAATGACTCCACTGCAGTGGCTGTTACACTGTGTAGGTAGGAATCATTGCCCCCACCAGTGAAACACAACCACACTACTGTGACAATCTGTTGAAACACGATACAACAGTATTTTAGTGTTGTAAATTAGTGTGAGAGTTGATATTACAAAGGAAAATTTTCAATTAGGCAGAATACACACATCTGGTTAGGATTTTTGGTCAGAAAACTAAGGCCAGTCTCCTTGGGCAAAGACCCTGTCATACTTTCTCAAAAGCATTTGGAATAACTTTGTGTTTTCTGGCCAACATTCTCCCTGCAAAATAAAACCAATTTGAATGTCCAAAGGTCAGATTCTCCCCTCTGTTGCACAAGACTATATATTGAAGAGGCGAGACTGGGCCATATTCACTGGTATTGCCCAGCTGGTTTGTGTTGCTCCATTGCAGGGAGTGTGGATGGGGAAAAAAGGGTATGGCTGGTCCGTCCCTCTGTAACCCATAACAAAACTCTGCTAGTGGTTAGAACACAGATGGAGGTTTATAGGTCTCCTATTGCCTTAGAAATAATTAGCTTAGCCCTTCACCTCAAATGATAGAGGCTCATGATTTTAGATACAGGTGTACAGGTTCAATCACAGATTACTTGAGCTGGGATGTTACACACATATCTAAGTGTTGTAAAAGCCATTTGGAGCTGTGGGCAGCCAGTGGAAGACAGAATGGCCTTCAGCTCTAACTTTCTTTGGCAAGAAATATGGTAATAGGACAATACAGGATACGGGGCACATGGTAGAAGTAGCTTATTGTCACCTTTATACTCTCCCTTTAATGTTTTACCAAGCATACCTTGGCCAAACCAGAGAAACTGGCTTGGTATTTTATATCTGTCTATATCTATAGATAGAGACCTGCACATACAACCAACATATATGGAGGTAATACCCATGTGAACCATTTTTCATATACCTTTGGCTCCCTCACTGCCTCTTTACCTTCTAATCTACCTCCTCCTAATCAGAGCTGCTGTAAATTGTAAAATAAGGTTTTATCTAAATCTGAATTTTCCATGGGAAAAGACAGCTTTCAGCAGAATTTTCTGCCAGGAAAAACAAAATGAAACCTTTGTTTCAGGTTAACATTATGCATCCCTCTGAGCTACAATAGTGCCCCATGGGAGTTGTAACTGAGGAAACCTCATGCCACCATTCTCTCTTATGGACCCAGCTTCTGAGCCAGACTAAATCTCCAATGATTCACCACAATCTCAATCTGTGGCTGAGCAACCATGGTTCATCACGGGACAAAAAATTTCATCTTAGGTCAACAAACTGAAATGAAACGTTTCATTTTTAAGAATGTTTAAATGTTTTGTTTTTGATGTTGAAATGAAACAGTTCCAAAGTGAATTTTTCTGACGTTTTCATTCTGTGAAAAGTTTTGATATTTCAACTTTTCATCCTATTTGGGATTAAAACAACTGTCAAAATATCAGAATTTCCCACAGTACAGTAATACCATTTTTCAATCTGTTCTCTCCTAAACTATTCTAAGGGCTTCTCTAAAAGGCAAGTTAATGTGTGGCAAATCAGGGTTTGAATTTACAGATCACTAGTTTGCTGCACACTAACTCACCCAGTAAACCCTGCTACAGTGCACTAAACGTTCTGCAGGACTTCTGAAATGGGAGTATATCACAGTGTGCTGTCAAACTGTTAGTGCACTATAGCAGGGTCAACACAGGATGTTATTGCATGGCAAGCTAGTGGGCTGTAGATTTACACGGTGTAGATTTACACTCTGGGTTACCACACACTAATGTCCCATGTAGACAAATCCGAATGTTCCATAACTCTGCTCTGAATAGCTTCAAGCAGCCACCATTCTTTTTTAAAAAATAATAATAATAAAAAAAGTCTGTTACAAAACTTTCCTTTTTCTCTACCCCAAATGTGAAATTCTCCCCTCCACCCCCAGTTAGACCTGTCCAAGGCCCAAAATTGGTAAGATTCAGCTATAGGCAAGTCACGCCTTTTCTATACATTAAAATGCCATGACCTTAAATTCAGTTAACTTGCAGCCCTGACTAGGTGGAATTAGAAGCATTATACCCTTGGAAAGGGGATAGTTCTAGCTTCTAGGGATAAGGTCTGGAATCATAGAATTGTAGGACTGGAAGAGCCCTTGAGAAGTCTTCTAGTCCAGTTCCTTGCACTAAACGCAGGACTAAGTGTTATCTAGACCACCCCAGATGGGTGTTTGTCTAACCTGCTCTTAAAAATCTCCAACGATAGAGATTCCACAACCTCCCTAGGCAATTTATTCCAGTGCTTATCCTACTCTGACAGTTAGGAAGTTTTTCCTAATGTCCAACTTAAACCACCTGCCATAAAAATAAAGGGAAGGGTAAACCCCTTTAAAATCCCTCCTGGCCAGAGGAAAAATCCTCTCACCTGTAAATGGTTAAGAAGCTAAAGGTAACCTTGCTGGCACCTGACCAAAATGACCAATGAGGAGACAAGATACTTTCAAAAGCTGGGAGGAGGGAGAAAAACAAAGAGTCTGTCTGTGTGATGCTTTTGCCAGGGACAGAATAGGAATGGAGTCTTAGAACTTAGTAAGTAATCTAGCTAGGTATGTGTTAGATTATGATTTCTTTAAATGGCTGAGAAAATAGCTGTGCTGAATAGAATGACTATTCCTGTCTGTGTGTCTTTTTTGTAACTTAAGGTTTTGCTTTGAGGGATTCTCTATGTTTTGAATCTAATTACCCTGTAAGGTATTTACCATCCTGATTTTACAGAGATGATTCTTTTTTACTTCTATTAAAAGTCGTCTTGTAAGGAAACTGAATGCTTTTTCATTGTTCTAAGATCCAAGGGTTTGGGTCTGTGGTCACCTATGCAAATTGGTGAGGATTTTTACCAAACCTTCCCCAGGAAGTGGGGTGCAAGGGTTGGGAGGATTTTGGGGGGAAAGACATGTCCAAACTATGTTTTCTCAGGAACCCAGATGAAGTTTGGTGGTGACAGTGGAAGTCCAAGGGCAGAGGGTAAAAAATAGTTTGTACCTTGGGGAAGTTTTTAACCTAAGCTGGTAAAAGTAAGTTTAGGAGGTTTTCATGCAGGTCCCCACATTTGTACCCTAGAGTTCAGAGTGGGGAAGGAATCTTGACACCACCCTTGCTGCAATTTAAACCCAAAATAAGCCCCCCCTTTTTTTCTTCAGTTGCATCATATTGTTAAAGCTCTTTATATATTAACCTCATAAAATCTCTGACATATGTTTGCTGAATTTCTGTAAATAGTATATATGGTGGTAAACTATGGCAGTTCTCAGGACTTGTTTGTTATTCAACTAAATGCTAAAAACTACTGTGTGGCAGAAATCCTCTGCTTATATTTTTTTCAGCCTTTTAAATATCATAAACCCTACTAATCTCCAAAGGATATTACTGACAATACTTGTTTATGCAAATTATGCTAGTCAAAAGCTCACTAAACCTAACAGCTAAGAGAAGCTACTACATATTGATATACATACATACACCAATACATCTACATAAACTTCCTTAAAATTCATGTTAATAATGTTTACCTTAATAAAATATCACTCCTTGCTAGCTAAACACAGATACACTTTAGGCTAGACTTTAAATATGTGCAGGTGACTTTCACGTAACATAACACCTGCTAGTCAAATCCAATATGAAGAGACCTAACCTGCAATGTTCGACACTTCTAATAACAATGAAAAAACATTCTATTCTTTGAATATAACTAATGTATTCATAAAGTTGTGTGGACTACTGCTCCTCAAATATTAATTTGTGGTGAGTATTTTCAAACTCTTGCGGGACTTACACAAAAACAGGTGTACAATTACATTTAAGAAATCTGTACAATGAATACTATAAAAATTCCCTGGCATTCAGAGTGCTACATTCCAGATCAAAACCTTTATTACACGTAGTAAGCTTTTTTTAAAAAGTCAAGTACTAATGTCTAGTTAGGAGAGAGAACTGATGTTGCTACCTCTTTATTCACAATTCCGCTGCAGGGAATTGCAATTTGAGATGCCCATATTTTCTCAGCAATCACTTGCTTCTTGAAATACACAACACAGACTAGCATCTCCATGTGTGAGAGAGATGTTTGCTTCATGCTAAATGGAGAGAGGTGTTTATGCCAGTGATGTAACTTTCATGGACTGTTTTATAACAAATTACTAGTGGCCACAAATAAGTTATGATCTAATTTTTATGTAAAATCCTTACTAACCGCCCCCAGAATGAAGCTAAGAAATGAAATATGAACGTTTCAGTTGTTAGTCATGCCTTGTCAAAGATTTTCTTTGGATATGCTACTCTCAGTATGTACAGTACACTCCAAGAACTGAGAAACAATACTGCTGCTCTGCTGTATCGTAAGTGTGGTAAAGCAAGGAGATAACCTGCTGAGTAAGCTTCTTTCCATACTGTACCTTTTCATCCAAAGCCTTATGGTGCTCAAACAAAGATTTCAGTGCTTTGAGAACTTCAACTTCACTTGAAACTCCTGAGGGGGACTGTGCTTGCCGTTTCACTACCGTCATCCTCAGAGACCTTTCATGTCTTGAAACAAGGCACTCCAAATGCTCCAGTAACAGCTGTTGGGTTTAAACATAAAGGGACATCATTCATTTGTACCTAAAGGTCAGAAGCATTACAATTACAAACTGCACACTACCAAATGACATGGCCTTGGCAACCTCCCTAGCTGAGGACTCTCTTAAAGATACTGCCAGCATTCCCTGACTCCAAGTCAGAACACAAAAGAAAATGAATTTTATTCAGATCTTCTTAAACTGCTGTGCACATTTGAAAACAACAAAATTGCTCTACTTAGATTTATTGTTGCCTGTCTAAAATCCACTTAATGTATTTAATTTTTTTTTAGTCACAGTAATTAATGGAATGTTAATAACAAAAACAACTAATATAGCTAACCAACTAGTGCAGTCTATAATTAATGCCTGAAAATCAGTCACCTAATTGTAATTTGTTTCATTTCTACTAAAACTGCATTAACAGAGAATGCAAAAACAAGCAATGTATTTTCATTAAAGTTTTAAAACACTGTATTTATTCTAAATGCATGTTGCATAGCTAATGGTGCATGTTAATATGGCAAGCTCTAAAATATTCACTGTTTAGTTATGGAATGTGAAATGTCCACAAATGTTGCTAAATACATTCTTTGATTTCTAGCCTACATTCAGCTGAAGAAAATACTAGAATAATATTTTTACAGACCTCTTTTTGGTGATTTAAAAATAGATTTTCAATATAAGGTATATCAGTGTTATCGCGGTAGGATCTGAGCATGCAAGTGGTTAGTTTTATTTATATTAAAAGAGAGTGGCTACCTTCAAGAGTCATACTGTATAATAAGAATACTTTAATTACAGTAATCACAATAGTATTCCTTTTCAATATGCAATTATATCTAATTCATATAACTGAAAGCTTAAAAGTTACATGACTGATTTACTTATTACTCCTTTGATGTGGTTCTTTATACATCTACTATTAGAACACATCTATTTACTACATATATGTTTGCATATATTTATTCTCAGTCATGTAGTTAACTTTGCAGTCTTATGCTTTTGTCATACCTGTTATCACTAACTCGTAAGCATAATTGAACTATAATGGCAATGTAACTATACTGAATTTATGGTATCCTTAATAAAAGGGGAATGACTCATGTTTACCATTACTGTACTTTAAAAACACGTCCTGCTTGCATCCTGCCAGTAGTTTACAACCATTTACCAAACACATATGTAAGATTACATGAGGTTAATATATAAAGAACTTTAGCAATACCACACAGCTGAAGAAAAAGAACATGTTTTGCCATTCTGGAATTAAGAAAGCAGATTAACAAAAGCAATCCACATGAAAAGACGTGCATGAGCTTGTTCCACTGCAATGGTGGGCAACCTGCGGGCCGCACGCAGCCCATCAGGCTAATTCGCTGGTGGGCCACAAGACAGTTTGTTTACATTGACTGTCTGAAGGCATGGCCGCCCACAGCTCCCAGTGGCTGTGGTTCACTGTTCCCAGCCAATGGGCTCCGCAGAAAGCAGTGCAGGTCGCAGGGAGGTGCTGGCCACCGCTTCCCACAGCTCCCATTGACTGGAAATGGCGAACCACAGCCACTGGGAGCTACAGGCACCTGTGCCTGCTGATGGTCAATGTAAACAAACTGTCTCACGGCCCACAAGCGAATTACCCTGACAGACCACAGGTTGCCCACCACTGCTCTACTGAGTCCCTGGCTGATGTAACACAAGTTGAGGGAAGGCAAATGCAGGCTTTTTGTGACAGCTTTGGCAAGCAGCTTTAAGGTGCAAATGGGTTTGGAGCCCCACCCAGCAAAGGTTGATGAGGGGCCACGCTAAAGCACTGCTTTCTTAAATGTGGGCCTAAATTAGAGCATCTCCAGGCCATGCTTCTTCCTAGGCCAGTGACTCTTAATTGCTGCACCACTTTACTGGAGTCTCAACAATCTGACCCAATCATAGAAGATTAGGATTGGAAGAGACCTCAGGAGGTATCTAGTCCAACCTCCTGCTCAAAGCAGGACCAACCCCAACTAAATCATCCCAGCCAGGGCTTTGTCAAGCAAGGGCCTTAAAAAACCTTTACGGATGGAGATCTACCACCTCCCTAGGTAACCCATTCCAGTGCTTCACCACCCTCCTAGTGAAATTGTTTCCTAATATCCAACCTAGATATCCCCCCCGCCCCCACTGCAACTTGAGACCATTATTCCTTATTCTGTCATCTGCCATCACTGAGGACAGCCTAGCTCCACCACTGAGAACAGCCTAGTTCCTCTTTGGAACCCCCCTTCAGGTAGTTGAAGGCTGCTATCAAATCACCCCCTCACTCTTTTCTTATGCAGACTAAATAACCCCAGTTCCCTCAGCTTCTCCGCGTAAGTCATGTGCCCCAACCCCCTAATCATTTTCGTTGCCGTCCGCTGGACTCTCTCCAATTTGTCTTTTCTGCGGGGGGCAGACCAAAATGAGACGCAATACTCCAGGTGTCTCTGCCTCTCCCCCGAGCTTTGTGTCATCTGCGAACTTGCTGAGGGTGCAATTCATCCCATCATCCAAATCCTTGATAAAGATTTTGAACAAAACCAGCCCCAGGACCGACCCCTAGGACACTCCGCTTGATACCAGTTGCTAACTAGACATCAAGCCTGACAATCTAGCCAGCTTTCGATCCACCTTTATAGTCCATACATCCAATCCATACCTTTTTAACTTGCTGGCAAGAATACTGTGGGAGACCATATCAAAAGCTTTGCTAAGGTCACGATATATCCCATCCACCGCTTTCCCCATAACCACAGAACCAGTTATCTCATCATAGAAGGCAATCGGGTTGGTCAGGCAGACCCTACATTTCACAGTTATTACACAAATATTTAGTTAACTAGAACCTTAACTTAAAGGTAACATTAAAGATTAAATATGTATAATAGTAAAAAACCAAAAACAACAACCCAACCCCCTAGTATTTGAATGAATAGAAAATGACATTTAAGAGACCGGTAACTATTCAAATACCCTCACACTTAATCATAAAATCTGTTAAATTAATGTACCTGTGAAAAATATTCTTTTGCATATTTTCTCATATAAAGAGAAATAAACTGACATCATAGGCAAGTGTTGACAGAACCATGGGGAATTATATACTCCTTGCAAACATTCAACATCTGTTCTTACTGCATTGCTTATGGAAGGGTTTCAGCTAATAGTTGTTCATTTTTCTGGAAATTCACTCTGAACACTGCCATTTTCCAGACTGCTAGTCACATGAATGCTCAAGAGGACATGTGCACATTCTCTGGTGGCTTAACAGGGAGTTTAATTATGCTTTTCAATAGAAATCGACTCCCTACTGAGAGTCCCATATTTCCCCCCCTCGCACAATCTATGAAGATGATGATTATGGCAGGGTTAAGTTGACTGACTTGAAGGCCTTATTAAATGACACCCCCAAAGGATCATCCAATGGTTAGAGTACTAGCCTGGACCATGGGTAGAATGGGGGTTCAATTTTCTGCTCCACTACAGACTTTCTGTGTGGCCCTGGGCAAGTCATTTAGCAGCTTAGTGCCTCAGTTTCCTATCTGTAAAAAAGGGGATGTGAATATAAATATTGAAAAGGAGTGCAAAGTGCTCAGATACCATGGCAATAGGGACCACATATCTACCTAAGATAGATATTGTAGATGTTCATGGGGGGCAAGGGATATTTAGAGTATGATTAGGGGAGGTAAATTATAGTATTTGTCTTCAGGATACTGTAAGGATTGCCTGTTCTATTTATCCCTAGGCACAAGAATGCGCCTCAGCTTTTTCTGGGGTAGGGTGGTTCTGCAAAGTGTTCCAGCATGACCACATGGCTAAATTTCACAGTGGGCCTAGATTTTTCACCTCTAAGTTTATATTCCTGAAAAATTCCAATACTAATCTTCAGCCAGCTGGCCCACTTCTTCCTGTGTTGTGAACCTCTGTTGTTCCACTAGAAACCTATAGTCACCTGAACAAGTGAAGAGAGAATCTAAACTGGAGTGCGAGCTCTACATTGTTTCTTGACCACTTTTCTTTTCCTTCAATATATCAGGTGTTTTTGTCTTTTGATTTTCAGTTAGAGACAAATCTGAAGCTCCATTTACATTTATAAATGGCTACTTGTTGATCATTTCTTCTTAAGGAATATGTTTTGAACCAACTGCTACATATCCAGGTAGGCAGCAGAGTTTTAGCAAATTGTCATGTTAATGATCCTCTGTTTAAAATCTTTTATAATGGCCCTAAATTGCAAAAATAGTCTAATGTATAAGAATTATATACTTCCTGGTTCAGAGCTCAGACTGCAGCGTTTTTTCCATGGCTGTTAAAGTGGATATTCAGATTTGTAATCAAACCAATTATACGAGTTCCATTTCAAGTACATTCAACAATTCAAAATGTCAACCATCTTTAATATTGTTCACTCTTCTAACACTTCAAAAAGCTGAACTTTCATATGATTATTAGCCATATTTGATAATAGGAACGAAAACTAGTTGGGGGGGGGGGGTGAACCCATCAGCTTGTCTGAGTTTTCCCTGAGAATACTGTCGAGCAAATGTAAAAGCTTAATTTTTTCTCCATATCCATTTTTTCCCTTTCTTGTAGCTTTAGGAAGTAAACAAGCATTCAGTGTTTTGTTTTATTTCATGTGAACATTTGTATGGCAGTAAAAACAAAAAATGTTAATCCATTAACAAAAAGCTTAAAATCAAAGGCCACATTTTCAAAAGAGCTCAGTGCCCACAACTGGAGGCCACATTTTTAAGAAAGCTCAGCTCCAACTTAGGCAGCTGCATGACGTGCCCATTTTAAAAATGGTCTGCCACCAACCATGGAGCAGGCCACTTCATGTAGGAACCTAAATGGGAGGACAGCTCTTGATTACTTGATGATGTAAGCTGTTTTCTGAGGTCTTTTGAAAACGTGGCCACAAATTTTCTACTAAGTATAATCAATTATCAAAGCAGAAATATACAACAATGTGAACAGAAGCCTTTTGT